GGTTTCTAAGCAGGCCAGAGAGGTTTTGTGAAAATGGCAGTGTTTGTGTTATGTTGTAAATCTAAATGGGTAAATCTCTGCAGGTCCAGTTTCTTTTGGACACAGAAAAATGCTGAGCACACAAACCTGCTTTTTCAGTCACCAGACGGAAAGGGCAGTGTCAGGAAAGCCACAGTCCCTCAAAATTCCATTTCTGCATTTCAGTGTGAGCCTTGAACAAAGTATTGGTGTGTTTTAATCAGCAGCAGCTTCTGCAAGAGAACTGCCAGTTATTTTCTTGGAGTGGAAGGAGAACAGAGGTACCATGAGGTCACTTCATGTGGATAGAACAAGCTTTGGGAATTGGATGGGATCTCTTGGGAATTTCTTAGAGGTGGGGCCAGTCAGAGCTGGCACCTTCCAGTGGAAAGGCTTTGGACCTGGGAAATGCCACAGATCAGCTGGTCCCCAAGGAAGGGAAGAGGTGACACCCTACAGCAGACTGATGTGTGGTCCCAGCCTCGTGTAACACGTCAGTGCTCCAAGGATTTGCACCAAACCCAGTGGATTGTGCCTTAAATCCCGTGGGTGAAGCACAGAGCCCTTCCCTGGCCGGGCCCCTCCAGCAGGGCCAGCACAGCCCTCTCCAGAGGCTCCCCAGAAACACCAACTCCCCTTTTCCAGGGCCAGAGGAGCCGGGTGTGGCCGCAGGGCCGTTATCCCAGGGAACAATGTGAGTGCCAGCTCCCATCTCCTGCCTTTCAGCAGGAAGCAGCTGCCAGCTTCCTTCTTGCCAGCTGCCAGGGCAACTCAGTCAGGCTTCTTGGAAAAGCAGAGGAACAATGACCTGGGAGGAACTCCCCTGAAACACAGAGGATCTTCACACTCACCCACATCTGAGCAGCTCCTCGAATGAGCTCCAGAGAAAGGTGACCTTTGATTTAGTGCTCATGGAGCCAATGCTCTTTGAGTCATTCCATGGATAATGATAATAATAATAATAATAACCCCCCTCAGCACGATAAAGGGCAGTGCTAAAGCAAACTAAACCCAAGCTTGGCCCTTCCACAGGTTACTTTGCACCTTTGTTTTACACCAGTAGCAGTGAATGAGCTGAATAACCTCAACATCCCTTCCCTTTAAATCCAGCACAGGCAACAGTGAGCTTTTTTGACCAAAATACCCTTTTTCTGAATTCCTGACACATTGCTGGGCTCTTGCTGTTTGCTTGTACCTGGGAGGTGACATAACAGCAGTGACAGTTTCTGCCTCTGAGCTCCTTTCTCTCCTGACAAGTGCCCCGGGCTGTTCCAGCCTCTCCCTCCACACCACTGCCAGAGCATTGTTCTGCTGCCTCTCCCAAAAGCAGAGTGGATGCATCAGTAAGCAAGTGAAATGGATAAAGAAATAAATGCCAGCATTTCGTGCCCTCAATTAGGCACTTGAGTTTGGGTAGTCACACAGAAGGCTCAAAGAGTTTCTCAGTATAATCCTTCTAAAAATGAGTTTGCCAGAGCACAGGCAAATATTTACCAGAGCATCGGAGGGTGTTTCACGGGAAGGCAATTGCTTCACTCCCTGTTTCCTGAGGTTACAGGAACCCAGGAGGCTCCAGCACTGATCCCTCACCTGCTCCCACCAGGGGCCACAGCCCAGCAGGATTCCCTCCCACTCCCACTGAGGGCTGCAATTTGAGTGAAGTACTTACTGGTTTTTCTTATTCCCTTCAAAAAAAAAAAAAAAAAGATTCCAAAAAACCCCAAACCTTCAAATTTAC